AAGGACTCTTACAACTGAACATAAAAAGAGGATAACCCAATTAAAATATGGGCAAAAGATCTGAACAGACATTTTTTTTCCAAGGAAGATATATAAATGTTCCATAAGCACAAGAAAAGATGCTTGACATCATTAGTCATCAGGGAAATGCAGATCAAAACATAATGAAATGCCACCTTTACACCATCTAGGCTGGCTATAAGCAAAACAAATGAACAAATAAAACTAGATAACAACAAGTGTTGGTGAGAATGTGGAGAAACTGGAATACTCTTACATTGCTGATGGGAATGTAAAATGGTTCAGGCATGTGGAAAATAGTCTGGCAGTTTCCTGATAGGTTATACATGCAGTTACCACATGACCCAGCCAATTCTACTCCTAGGTATATACCAAAGAGACATTTAAAAAAAATAAAAGAAATGAAATGAACAGAGCAAAAAGAAAAAAAGAAAACCTCCCTTTATGGAAGGGTTTTACTTACTGAGGTTCCACTTCAGGCCTGTTGTCGTAACCTGGTTGCAAGGCTGTCCGATGGGAATAAGGCCACACCAATCACCTTCCATTCCAGTGTCCACATGCAATTTGTGCTTTCCCTGGAGTAGAGAAGATATGATCACTAAGAAGGGGAAGAGAAAAGAAGGGACATTTGTGTGCATTAAAGACCTAGCAGTATACATCAGGTACCATCCTAGGACACTCACATGGTTTACCATACTTAATCCTAACAAAAAAATTTATGTGTTATGTGCTGAATAATCCTAGGAACTTTCACCTGACTTAACTCTAACAGTAATTTTACAAGGTAGGTTATTGTTAATTATTAGTTTTACATGAGAAAAATCCAAGCTTGAGGAGATTAACACAGGACCACACAGACAACAAAGATGCCTACCTATACCCACCAATTTCAATGACCAAATTGATCCTACATGCTAAAGATGTAGATTACATGACACAGAATTCTATGGTCTTTATCAAACACTTGTTCATATGTAGATATAACATTGCTTCCTAAGTAAAATCTCTGCTTATCTGAGAACTGGCTTTCTAATGTTCAGAATTCAACATTAATCCTCTCAGTGGTTAACCTGTTTCCCAAATCCATTTCTACTACAGGACATGCTCTGCAAGAAGGCCCTCTACCAGGACACGTGGTATCTTCTATGAAGAACTAGCATGCTTCTTCCATTCTGATTATGAAACTGATATAATTGACGGTTTCAATTTTTCAGTTTGCAGGATGCTCAATCAATGCTTAAACAATGTTTGTTTTTTTAATAGAATACTTGGATACTCCTTCCCTAAACTAATGATCTTCCATTTCTATTCTATTTATTATTCTTAGGGTATATAGTCTTTATGGAAAAATATCTCAAGTCCTTATAGAAAAAGGCCAAGTTATACATATATTCAGTAACAAAATAAAAAAGGAATTTTTCATACTTCATATGACTAAAGAAATAAATTCTAGAAGATATGCCTTATTTTAATAAAACAGTGTCTTGGGTATACTTAATAGATGCTGTTACCAAAAAAAGGCATTTAGGTATCCTTTTGTAATGACTTTACTTTTAGTCTAACTATACCTTTTGTACTCTACATTGTAGGCTTTCAAGAACTTTATTCTGCTATACATAAGGCCTCAAAGTAGGAGTAGGCTCACTTTGTTTTTAGTCAAAGAGTTGCTTTTATTAGGAAAACAATTCTCTAGATCACATATCAGTCCTTGAAATTTAACACAGTCTCACCAAGATCCTTCCAACCTATATAATTCAGACACATATTCATAGTGTATGTTTTATATTTCTATTTGGACATTCAAATGGAAGGTCATGAATTCAATTAAAAGACCTAAATATAATCAACACAAAGGAATTTTTAAGGAAAATATAAGATATATTTTGAACTTGTTGTCCATCATTGGGATGGAAGCTAGGCCACGTGTGTAGACGTACACCAAGCAGTGGACTGGATCTGCACAGAGAAACATGGGTGGATTGAAAACATAACACATTGTGGATGTGGATAATATTCCTAAGCAGCAGAAACAGGACTGAGGAATATTTGAAATAGCCCTTTTCTTCATCCAGCCATAATTTACTGATTCATGAACCTCCATGTTAGTGTCAGAAACAGAAGTTATTCGCACAGCTGTACACATAAAAAGTGTGATAAGGGCATCTTGGAAGGTAAAGACGGGTAAGTAAGACAGTCTGTAGACCAGAGACATCATCAGGTGTGGGACGTGTGGGCAGAGGCTATGCAAGGGGTTCCCTGAAGAGTGAAGCTTAAACTGGGAAGTGGAGGATGAACAGGCATCAACTCAGTGAAGAGAGAAGGTTTGCAGGCCGAGGACGCGTATGCACAAACGAAGGCTATGGGCCCTGCCTAAGAGGTGTCATGACATTCACCTATGGGGCCAGGCAGGTGGGGATGAATGGGTGGAACCCAGGGGATTTTTGGGCAGTGAAACTATCCTGTGTTACACTGTAATGATGCACACATGGCACTACGCATTTGTCAAAACCCAAAGAACGTACAAGTCAAAGAGTGAACCCTCATGTCAATTACGGTCTTTAGTTAATAACAATAATGTCTCAATACTGATTCAGCACTTGTAATATATGGACCATGCTAATGCAAGATAACGGGCGAACTGCAAATAGGGGAGAGGGGTGGGGATAAGGGAACACCGTCTAATCCGTTTAGTTTTCCATAAATCTGAAACTACTCTAAAAGATAAAGCATATCAATTTTTAAAATGCCTCACAACAACCTTTCAGTTTCTCATCCCTCAAAGGGGGACTAGGAGTAGCAGGATGCATCCTAGGTGAAAGGTGCCACACAGAGAGAAACGTGGACTGGCTCTCAGCAGCCATTGCAACCTATTCTGGTTTTCTTCAAACTCCTAAAACAGTTATTATTATGTTTAGGGCATGAGCTGCATTTATTTCTTTATACAGAATTTCCCTTAAGTTGATTTACGTTGAATAGCTTACCGCACAGATTTGAGTTTTGTTTCTTCCTACTATTCTCCAGTATAAAAATCATTCTTTCTGAAGATAGAGACACTAAATATAATACAAATGATCATCCCCAGATGCCAAACAGCAAACTTTAACAAATTCTGAAAAAGGTAACAAAATCTCCTTTATAATGAAAAGGAGTTGATGAGAGGGGGTGTTGTAGAAATTCTCATTTCCTTAGAATTACATTGGCTTTGGCAGAGAGGGAAGACGCATTGATGATGACTTTTCACATAGACGGGTTCTGACCACTTTCCCATTTAAGTGCTGTACTCTGGGGGTCCCCAGCAGAAACCATAGCATTCATCAGAGGGGTTACAGGTAACCTGTAGCCTCCCAGGTACAGAGCGGCAGAGACCGTGGGGCTCAAGAGAGCATCAGAAAAAGAGACAAGGTAGGAAAGTACACCTGGCCCAGACCCCCTGTACCTCTGTCTTTGGTAACAGTGTTTCTGACAATGAGACCTGTCGTTAGAGTGTGACTTCTTCATTACTTATCAAAGAGGGATTCATATCTTATTGGGTTCTCTTATTTCCAATGTGTTTCAGTTAATTACTATCTCTTAATTGACAATTATCTCCGCTCTGTTTGTGACCTTCTTAATGGTTTGATAGTGGCCAGCTGAATACATTAGTAGGTTGGGTGCTACCGGGTAACTTCAGTGAAGAATAATGAGGGAAAGAAGGCATTATTTTTTAACTTGTGATACTAACATCCTAAGAGAGGATTCTTCAACTTATATAATGCCAAGGAAACAAGCTCATATACATGTTAAGTTTTATTATCCAAGGGACAGGAT